GAGAAAATATTTTATTTTTACATGCAACCTTAAGATTTTAAATCATGGTTATATTGTTATATAATCTTTTTCAAAGTTAAATCATTTTAAAAATTTTCGTTAATAATTCAACGATTCAAAAAATATACTAAAATTTAGTTGATATTTAAACCACTACCACAATTTTTGTTTAATAAAATTTTTATTAGAGATATAGAATAAAAAAAAACTACAAATTCTATAAAAAGTAACTATGATCTTTTGTTTAAAAAGCATAATTAACAATTATTTGCACATTTAGAACAAAAATATACACAATGTTCAAGACAAAGAAAAATGTCACATTTTACACATTTCTTTTGGCACTTTCTGTCCTTTCCACGGGGACACACTCCACATCTGGATGTTGTTCGTTGTTTCTTGTTTGAAGGTCCTTGAGAGTCCTCTCCGCTGTCATTTCTTTTTAGTTTCGCTCTTATGTCTGATGGTATTCTTTGATTATTACCTCTTTTTTCAATATATGGTTTAATTAGTGCCAAACCAAGTTGTTTTAAAAAAAATCTGCGTTTTAGTTTTTCATTTGGCTTGTTATGTTGATAAATAACATAACTATTTATTCCTGCATTATTAAGCAGCGAAAAAAAAATTGTTAGTGGCCATCGCTTGCTATTACGAGACACATTATATAACGCAGACATTTCGTCAACCATATCCACTCCACCTTTTGTGTGATTATAAAAGTCTATAATCTCAGGTTTATTTAATTTGTGGTCAAATTCTGTATCATGATGAAGTGAAGAAGCTACTAACACTATTTTATTTTTCTTCGGGACAAAGGACACCAAAGAAATGTCTTTTTTAAATCCGAAAATTGCGTGGTTTTCAGCTCTGTTTTTGGAATTCAAAAAGATTGTCGGTATTTCCCTCTTGTTTTTACGAATAGTTCCAACAGATGTTAACCGATGTTCACTAAGCAAATGTTCCATTAGCGGTATGCTGGTAAACCAGTTGTCGAATGTAATGTTGCGATTAGTACCACGAATTGGATTTACAAGCCTGTTTACTACATCAAACGGTCTATTACTAAATTGAAAAGGTCCCTCAGGCTGTGAGCCAACATATACCTCTAAATTTAAAATGTAGAATGTTTTGGCATCCACTAAGGCAAATATTTTAATGCCATATTTGGACGGCTTATTGGGGATATATTGCCGAAAGGAACAACGTCCCCGAAAAGATTCTAATTTTTCGTCGATCGTCAAGTATTGACTAGGAATAAAATATTGTTGACAATTGGATACAAATCGATCAAAAACAGCTCGTATAGCTGCCAGTTTATCTACTCTTTTTCGTTCGTCTCTATTTTCGATATTATCGAATCGTAGGCACTTTAAAAGTAATATAAATCTTTGCAGGGACATTGTTAGCCTGAAAATGTCAATTCCTGTTCCATCTGTAGCCCAAAGATCCTCCAGATTTAACCTATTGGCTTTATAAACGCCTGATAGATATAGTAATCCGAAAACTGCACGAATTTCTTCTGCGTCCGTAGGCTTGGTGATATATTTATGTTGGTCATTATAATTCTGAGCGACTAAACTGATTTTTTTATTAGTGCATTGGACAATATCTTCTACAATAATATTATCCATGAATAATTCCCAGCAAGAAATGGGTGATTTGCAATGTTTTGCATTATTTCGAACACCGGGAAGTAAAGTAATTAAATTTTCTTGTCGTGTTCTAACCGATTTATTAGGACAGTTCTTTGACCATTTTGTTTTCCCATCCCGTCCGATAAAAAACTTAGATTGTCTTACTTTATCATCTTCAAACTTATTGTTGTCTTGAGAAGATTCTTCCGACGATGATTGACTTTCCTGATTAGAAGTTCCAGGCTGACAATTTTCCACTGATTGAAGTTGGTTTTGTAAAACATCCTCACTGGAACTAAGGCTAACCTGCTGACTTTCATTTTCAGATTCGCTTTCTGATCCTAACTCTGATCCAGTTAATTCATCCTGCCAAAGCTTCAAGAGAGCTTCTTGTTCTTTCTCCCAACTACACATATTTCGATATGTCTGAAATTAAGAATATCTAATCAATTTTCAATATTCCTAACAATTAAATTATGTTTCTGTTAAAAAAATCGAGATAAGTTGTGCTAGTATAAGAACTTACCTGTTAATAATTAACCGGTGTTGTGGGGTTAAAATTACCCAAAAACTAAATAATACTGCACTTCAACTGTGTGGTGGGGTTAAAATCACCCACAAGTCCAAAGAAGGCGACACCACTCATTCAAATCTTATTTATATACTGAAATTTATGATGCAATACAAGGTCTGTTATATTATGGGAAGGTACTCGTGGCGCCAGACGAATCTGGCGATGTTGCCACTATTTTAACAAGCGGTAATGAACGACGTGGGTTATTTTCACCCCACAACACAGTTGCCGGGTTAAGGTACGATTCCGAACACGACCGCAAACTTCAAACTGCACACCGCAGACCGCAGACCGCAGCGACAGACCTACTGGTTCATATGATTTCTTATGAGCTGTATGTCGAGTAGAGCGGCACTGTTGCCACCGCAAGTAGAACGTCGTCACCGCAGACTGCAGGACTGCACCAGAACCAGTAGTGTCGCCGACCGCAGAGTGACAACACGTATTTTTGCTGTTTCCAAATTGACTGAAAAGTGAAAACAATTGAATATCTTTTGAAAATGAGTTTTTCAAATGAAGAAGTAGAGATTTTTGATGAGTATTGAATAACTTCCTTCAAATTGTCTATTTTTAAATAGAGACCTAGTTGGCTTCCTTTTTCTTTTATATTGCAAAAGTAAAAGATCGTTGTCATCTTCTTCTTCCATCAAAAGATATAACATTAATTCATCGTTGTTCATTGCGTCTGACACCCTACTTATACGACTTTTAATATTATACTATTATAAATTCCCATTGTGCAATGCTGTTGTCGCTGTTTTGTAGATGCAGTGCAGTTCTGCTCGGAATAGGTCTGACCGCAGACGACACTGTCGCTGCAGTCTGCGGTTTGCGGTCTGCAGTCTGCAGCCACTTTCGGAATTTAACCTTTAGGCTAATGAAGCGAACTGCAGTGGAGATATGTGAGAGGACAGGCCCGGCTTCATGCATTATGGGATTAAATATTAGATATGAGTAATGAAAATGATGATCCATTTGAGAATGAGTCTAAAGAAACATCCTGACTACTAAACATATAGTTCACGGAACAGCAGTGACATACCAACTAAAAGACCTCGGATAACGACTAAGGGTAAGTTTGAATAAAGATCAATAAATAAATATAGGGCCGTAACTGATAGTTTATATACTTATACATATTTGGCAATGAAATAAATAATAGCTATTTATGTTATAAGTACATATATCATGTTATAATTATTTTATTATATCCCAATGAGCTTGCGAGAGAGGATAGAAAATTATAATTGTACTATTATGTGTATGTACTATTATTCTATATTATAATTGTACTATATTATATAATTGTACAAGGGCAATAAGGTCATGTTTATGTGCGAATGGCACAAGATGTTATGTACGACTACATTTGAATAAATTTATATATTCTATTGACATGTTGTTACATTTTGTTTTTTTTTTGTTTCAGATAGCGATAAGTCAGATAATCAAGATTCTTCAGGAAAAGAAGAAAATACAGGGGCTCATTGGGGATTACTATTTGCGTATGAGAATTTTTTTAAAGAAAATATAGGATACAGAAAGTCTAAACATGAAAAATAAAGAAGAACTCACCTACTTCAGACGTTTTTGTAGACGAAGAAATGATCAGCATAATTGCTAGAACAAACCAACATAAACGCAAATCAGGTGATTCACATATCCACACAGAAAATAGTCTGGCGGTGTCAAATCGCACGATCTTGGATGAAAATTCCGTCCGAACGTAAAACTATGCGGTTACCAAACGTTTCTTTTAATAAATCAATTGTGGCACGAGCTGTGTCACATGTTGCGCCGTCTTGTTGACACCACAGCTCCTACACATCATGGTTGTTCAAATAAGGAATAAAAATATTAATAGTCATGGCTCTATAGCGGTCACCATTGACTGTAACGTTCTGGCCAGCGTTGTTTTTGAAAAAGTATGGGCCAATGATTCCACCAGACAAAGAACACCAAACAGTCAGTTTTTCTTGAATCTAATGACATTTTAACATACACTTGAAAATTATCTTTACTACAAATACGGCAGTTTTGTTTGTTAACGTACCCAATTGACCAAAAGTAAGATTCATCGCTAAACAAAATTCGCTTATGAAAATCAGGATCAACGTCAATCTCGTTTTCGGCCCATTCACAAAATCTACGCCTTGCTAGGTAATCGTGTTGCTTTAATTATTACACAAGTTGGATTTTGTAAGCTCGGAAACCAAGATCTTTTCGTAACATCTTCCATAAAGTGGATTGACACATATCCATCGCCTATACACATAGAGGATAGCCTGATTCGGGTCTTGCTGTATGTTATGCTCTACATCAGCAACAATTTCTTCTGTATGCACTGAATTATGTCTCTGTGAATGCGTATTATCATTTAGAGTAAACGTAGTGCGGAGAACCTTCCATGGTTACTTGAATTAATTGCGCTGAGGGACACCTATGTCGACATAAAATGGACGTAGTGCGCGACACGAGTTTTCGAACAGAACCATGAATTTTAAAATAAATTTGCACAATTTGGAAGCGTTGTTTAGGCGTCAATGTCAAACCAAACTAAACATAAATCACTTGACAGCTGTCAAAATGGCCGCCAGTTAAAAAATTGTTACCAACTTACATTTCTATACCTCTAAATAAACACCCTTTATATATTTTTTGGGTGATCAATATCTCTCGAGTTAAAGGCAAAAATATGGGCGCAAAAATCACGAAGTGAATCCAGCAAAAAAATGCTTGTCGACAGATTCTGCCTAGACTAATAGAAGTTTTATAATTTGTATTGTACTCACCGATTTATATCTCTCGATATCTAAATACAGGTCCGTATTGGGCACAAGTCCCAAAATACATGTATGTGTGTGATATCCTTGCATAAATAGACTGAAAACTGCAGCAACAATTCCAGCTATCAATCCGTAGATAATAGAAATAAAAAAAGTAACCAAAAATGTAATTATCCAGACCATACCATCCCATTTGCTTAGTCGCCAAAATCTTGGAAATGAGCAACTTGGAATATTAGTCCTTTTAGCGATTCAACTATAATACTGGCTAAGACGCACTAAAAATCGAAACTTGTAACGATAAAGAATTTTTTTTGTTATGTATATAATTAGTCTACTTTTTAAATTTTATTGATTAACATTCAAAATATCAAACATTACAGGAAGAATAGAGAAAGAATCAAGACATGGTGTTTCAATTTCTCTATATCAAAGAGTAATAAGTAATGATTTTAATCGATTATTATTATAATATCTGTACAACAAATGTGTTATTACGAGAATACATATTATAATATAAACTTTACAAAACCTTTATTTCTTTGTAAACAATCTCGTACGGCAGATACGAGCTACCCCAATGCATTTTGCAAGGTAAAATTAAAGAAAAAAGGGCCCCAGGACGAAGAATATCCTGTTTTACTAACCTGAGAGCATCGTATAGAAAGACCGCAACACAGTTATTTCGTATCTTCTTCTTTTTACGGTGCCTATCCGTTCCGGATGTTGGCGATCAACATGGCTATCCTAACTTTGCTTGCTGCTATTCTGAATAGTCCGGTTGTCGATGTATTAAACCACTTTCTCAGGTTTTGAAGCCAAAATATTCTTCTTCTCCCTGGTCCTCTCTTTCCAAATACCTTGCCCTGAAGAATTAGTTGCAACAAGCCGTATCTCTGTTCATTCCTCATAACATGGCCAAGATATTCTAGTTTGCGCTCTTTGATGCTGTAAATAATCTCGCATTACTTGCCTATTCTACGTAGGACCTCAACATTAGTCACACGATCCACCCATGAAATTCTTAAGATACGTCTGTAACACCAAATCTCGAATGCCTCGAGTTTTCTTAAGGAAGCTTCGGAAAGTGTCCAGGCCTCTACTCCGTATAATAAGGTAGAGAATTACATAGCATCTAATGAGAGAGATTTTTGTAGCAAGTGGTAAATCATGACTTCTGAAAGAGACTTCATCATTATGAACGCTGATCTCGCTTTTCCTATGCGTTGTTTTATTTCACTGGAGTGATCCCATTGGCTGTTAATGTTGGTATCAAGGTATGTGTAGCTGTCCACTCTGTCAATTGGATGTTGGTTAACCAAAAGCTGTGTATTTAATATTTCACGCTTACTGACTACCATGTACTTTGTTTTCATCGTATTAAGATCAAGTCCGTGTTCTCTACTTATATCTGATATAAGGACATTATTCTTTGATATCTGAAGATATATTCAGAGTATCATATTAAATAACACTGGGGATAGAATGCAGCCTTGCCTCACTCCTCTATATATGGAGAGTGGTCTCTGTCAATTGATCATCCACTTTAATATTGGCTGTTTGGTTGTAATTATACATTATAGATGATTCTCAAGTCCCTATCATCTAACCATACTTCTTTCAAGATACTTATAAGTCTATCATGTTTTACTCTATCAAATGCCTTTTTGTAGTTGATAAAACAAATATACACATCGCAGTTAACATCCCTGCATCTTTGTATAAGTACTTGGACAGCGAATAGAACCTCTCGGGTGCCTAAGGAATCGCGGAATTCAAACTGCGTCCATGATACTTGTTCTTCGCATTTTTTATATATTCTGCCATGTATCACTTTCAAGAACGTTTTAAGTAAGTGGCTCATTAGGCTAATTGTTCTGTAGTTTTCGCATGTCTTGGCATTTACTTTTTTTGGTATGGTCACGAAGGTCGACTTTAACCAGCTTTGGGGTATTTTTCCAGTTACGTATATGTTATTGAATACAGTTGTTATCCATTTTATTCCCTGTTCATCCATAAGTGTAAGAAATTCTGCACAAAACTCGTCAGGCCATACCGCTTTACCATCTTTAGTTCTTTTAATAGCTGACGTGACTTCTTTAATGGTAATCGGGGGTCCTGTTTGGCATTCAGTGTCTTCAATGTATTAGTCTGCCTTTCATCTGCAAAAGTTACTTCCACATAATTCTTCCAAGTGTCTAGTTTTTCTTCCACAGTTAACAGTGATTTGCCTTGTTTATCTGCCAAACACCCAACTCTTCTAGGTTTGTATAAGCCTACGGCTTCTTTAACTTGTTTGTGCATAATAAATGTATCGTGTTTATGTTGCAATTGCTGTATTTCCGAACACTGTTTTCTTAGATGTGTATCCTTAGCTATTCTAATAGCTTTTTTGATCTTTGTATCGATTCTTTTGTATAATGACATGTCTTATTTTGAACTTTCGCCTCTCTTCCATCATATCTAGAATCTCATTTGTCATCCACGATTTCTTCTTAATTTTTGGTGGTTTGAGAAATTTCTCTCGTATGTCTTTTGAAACTGTATGTAACTTTTCTAGCTCCTGGTCCATTACATCCGATTGAATAACGGTATTTCAAATTGTTCTGTATATACCGCTTTACACTATGTTCTGTGTGTTGGTCTTTTAATAGCTTGATGTCGAATTTTGGATTGACACTAACGTCTAACCTTCTTTAGCCTGAGCCTAATTTTGCCATTCAATGGGTTATGGTCTGATTTGATATCAGCTCTGGGTATGTCTTGACTGATGCTGTTCCGGAATCTTTTATTAATCAGAATGTAATCTATTTTATTTCTCACTATGCGGCCTGGAGTATCTTAAGGTGATTTCCTTGTGTATAATCTTCTGTGTGGGAGTTTGAAGTAAGTGTTAGTAATCACAAACTCTTCTTCTGCTACAAATTCACCCAGTCGGTCTCCTCGCTTATTTCTTTCTCCAAGTCCAAATTGTCCTATGAATTCTCCCGATTGTCCCCTACCAATTTTCTCATTTAGATCACCCATAATCAAAGTTAAATCCTTTCTGGGGAGGCGTTTTAAGGTGTTCGATAGTTCGTTATAAAATGCTTCACTTATCTCGTCCGGTTTGTCAGCTGTAGAGGCATATACCTGGATAATGTTAGATGTAATTGGGTAGGTATTAAGTTGAAGGAGGAGGATTCTTTCCGATATAGGTACAAAGTTTTTAACATGTCTGGCAGTTTCTTGATTTAAGATTATACCTACCCCATTTTCGTGTCTTCCACTAGGGTTACCTGAGTGATATATATGATAATCATTAATTTTACATTGCCCAGAGTTATTTCGTATAGCAACGAACAACATCGCCAACGTTCGGAACGGACAAGCACATTAAGAAGAAGAAGAATCTCGTACTATACCTACAATATTTTATTTGCACTAAGTACTATTTAGTACATACACCTGTCATTTTGCCTTTAAAATATTAAATGATATTTTCTATTGATTACACAGTATATTAATATTTTTGTTGATTTAAATATTTCGGCAACTAATGAAAATGGATTGACATTAATTAGAATAAAAAATTATAGATTCGTCTTAAATCTCTAAAATTGTTCTCAAACATCAAAATCTCTAATCATCAAGACAGAAACCGAAACATCAAATTTTTGTAGTTAAAAATGTAATTATTATTACAATAAATTGTGAAGAATAACTACTGGTCAATTTATTGTTTCACCTCCTTTTTGTATTTTTTGTTTTTTTATTTATTAATACCTATGTATGTATATGCGTGCATACGTGGGTATATGCTTGCATATGTACATAATATACCTACTTATATCGAATATCGTGGCTGAATGGATGAAGCAATTCAAAGCCAATGGAAATAAAATATATTGTGGCTTAATCCAATATAAACAGTATATTTAACTTGGACATACCACAAACAACAGTTTCAGCACCTTTTTAAGACATATGTTTTTACTTTATGTTTAGTTCAAATAAAAAAGCGAAAATGGCAATTTTTTGTTGGACTAGCGTTTGTAGGACTATATAACTGTTTTTTATAGGCCAACTGGATTGACTTCTCTGTGGATCTAGATAAATGTCTAGGGTGGTATTACACCGAATATCAAAAACTACCACAGATTTGTTGGTGCCGTGCTAAGTGTAGCCAAAAAACACATACCAAGAGGATTATCGCAAAGAATATGTTCCTGGCTGGTCGGAAAAATAGCGAGGAAACTATATCAGAGCTTTCTTGAAACTGGCGACCAAGCAAATAGCGGATGAATCTACTGTACAGCCTAGACGCCGCTAGAGAGACAAAAGTGGACCGAAAACAGTAGAAAGTCTAAACTTCCAGAAATCAAGCAGACAGGCATGGTCATTACTAAGAAAATTATGGAGTAGGTGTCCGTACAAAACGCCCAGAGGCAGCAGTAAAGCCAGATGCCGTAGCATATATAGTAAAAACATCCAGAGCAACCAAAGGATAAAGCACACACTATCTACGTAAAGAGAGAACTTAAAACTTTAAAACATGTAGCCACAGAAACGGAACATTCCCTCCCCTTCACCAGCGAAGACATATCAGAGGCTCTAAAAGATGTTAAGCCAGCAAAAGCACCAGGATTTGATAATATTCACCTGAATTCCTATAAATTGTGGCAAGTATACAAAAGTTTGGTTGGCTCGATTTTTCACAGACATCATGGAAACTGGAAATATCCCACAAGCACTAAAGCGCTCTAAGATAATAGCCATACAAAGCCAGGCAAACCCGCTGACAACCCAAAAAACTACAGACCAATTGCGCTTCTCTCTGCCATCTACAAACTATTAGAGAGCTTATATATAATAGAATCAGTACAGAACTGTTCCAGGTGATCCCAGTCGAACAAGCGGGTTTTCGACCAGAACGAAGCTGCGCGGACCAGGTCATGTCACTCACACCTACATCGAAGCGGGTTTTTAAAGAAGACTTAAAACTTCAGCGCATTTATTGATCTCTCGGCAGCGTACGATACAGTATGGAGAGGGTCTTATATACAAAATTCTCCGTGCAATTCCCTGTAAACAAATAGCACGTTTAATAGATAGCTATGCTCAACGACCGAATGTTTCAAGTAGTGATGGGCACAGATATCAGCCCACCAAAGAAACTTAAAAATGGCCTACCACAGGGGTCAGTGCTCTCTCCATTACTATTTAACTTATATTTAGCAGATATGCCAGAAACACAATCAAGAAAGTTCGGATAAGCCGATGACTGGGCCCTCACTAC